GCTAAAGCCCAAATGACCCGAGCCAGGATTTGAACCCAGGTTTCTAGGACTCCAGAGTCTGCCTTGGGCTGAAGATAGCTCTGTTGCTGGGGTGTGTCTGCCATGGTGGGTACCTCAAGGACCTTGGCATACTATGTTAGGAACCCTCTCTAGTCTAGACTAGAGATAGACCAGAGGGTAGAGACAGAGACAGACAGAGGGTAAAGAGGCTAAGAGATAAAATGACTAGCCCTTTGTCTCCTGGGTACCCCTTCCCAATGCCCTGGATTCCAGAGACTGGGTTCTTATCTCTGAAAACAGCCTGATGTAGAAACTTGGCTACCTCTGTAATCCCTAGGAGCCTCACTATCCCCATCTGGAAAGTAGAAGTCCCTGGTCCCTGTCTGATACTCTCCCCAAGTGAGTGGGATGGGGCTGGGGGAAGGACAACCTCATTCCACTGATCATTCCCCAGCATGACCTTTCCCCTTTGGGCCTGAAAGCAAAGGCCTGCCCACAGTAACCCTGCTGTGCATCCTATATTCCTTACCCTCTCAGGCCCCACCGTTGTGTGTGGAGGGGGCTGTGGGAGGGAGGGAAGGAAGTACAAAGCGCCATTGTCCACCAGAGGGAAGGGGAAGGGGATAGGGCGGTTTCTGAAACTGCCCAGTGAAATTCTCCCGGGAGGAAAGAGGGCACTTCCTCCTCCTGGGGGGCGGGTCTCCGGGCCTTTCTGCCCTCGCCGTTTGGGAGTGGGGGTGGGGTCTGACCCGCTCTGGCTCTCCCTGGGCCTCAGTCTCCTCACTAGCACAATACAGGAGACTTTCCAGGCATTCGCTCAGTCCCATGGAGGACGGGCCGGCAGTGGAGCGAGGCCTCGCCAGGGGGCGCTGAAGGTCCGAAGGCTCCGGAACCGCCCGCCCTCCCAGGCAGGGCACGGCCCACGCCTCTCCCGGGGAGCCCAGCACTAGGCGCCCAGTCGGGAGCCAGACAGGAAAGCCCCCCGCCACCGCCTGCTTTAATGTCTCTCGTTGCGGAGAAGAAATCGAAGTTCACAGAACTTAAGCAGCTTCCCTAGGTCACCCAGCTAGGGAGCGTCGGAGCCTGAACTTGAACCCGGGACTGAGGAGGAGGGCGTCCGGTATGTGGCGGAGGGGCACGCGGCGTGCCTGTCCCCAAGTGCCCCCATCCAGCGCAGGCACCCCCGCCTCGTCCAAAGGAATGTGCGGGAGCGGAGGCCGGAAGCGGCTGCCCGGGTCCCCAATCGGCCCGAAGCTGGGGCGCCGGCCAGCTTTCCCTTATAAGGCCCGACCCCGCGGGGAGGGGCCCGGCTTGGGACGCCGCCGTTCTTGCCACGAGGCCGGCGGGAGCCAGGCCGGAGCTCTGGGCGGGACCCTCGGCAATGCCCGGGCGAAGTAATGGCGGGGCGCCGGCCGTGGAGGAACCGGTCTGGGGGTGCGAAAGACTTTGGGCGGTTTTGCCGCCCCCAGACGAGGGGCAGCGAGTGGTTTAGTCCTTTCCCAGGGAGGGGGCGGGGCTGGGCCGATTACAGCTACCGCTCTGGCTTCTCTGAAAACCCAGCACCCAAACTCTGCATGGGGTTAGGGAGTGGCGACTGGAGAACCCTGAGCCTCAGAGTGGACCCCTAGAGATGGAGATGCGCGGGGACCTGGCTTTCTTTCTGGAACGCTCTGTGTCTACTACCCCCATCTGACTTCCTGACCTAAGGGGGGAGGTCGAGCTGACGTGGTGGGAACCCCTGGGAAACCAATCCAGCACACAGCTGGCTGTGGCGATGGCAGACACCCAGAGAGTCTAACGTGCTGGTCTGACTGCCTTGGGTAGGTTATGGCAGCACTGGACACTGCCGAGTGACCCCTGCATCCGGAAGAATGGTATGGGGGTGGGTAGGTCACTTGCTTTCTCTTAGGAAAGGTAAATCTTTAATCCCACTCCCCCTCCACTGTCCACCCTCACAAGGGTCAAGGGCGGAGCTGGGAGGGTGGGCGCAGAGCTCTGGCCCCTCCAGTGCTGCAGCTCCCTGCCTTTGATCGTGGGTACATGTCTGCCCTCTTTTGTTGCCCTAAAGCCTTTCTGTGCATGGCAATGGGGGAGGGGGGAGGCTATGGTTAGATAGGGCCTCAAGAAAGTGAGGAAAGAGTGGGCCCATCCTTCTTCCACCCTAAGATCTGGGCCCATGCCTCATTCCATCCCCATGCCAACTCTAGGAGCTACATATATGTTTGCACACATCTCCAGCTCCCATTTTACAGGTAAAGAAACTGAGGCTCAGAAAAAAATGACAGACTAGAAGTGACAGAGCTTATAAGGGCCCCCAAAGCCTGTCTCTTTTTATGGGCTCTTCTGACCTTGACTTACCCAAGATATGGTCCCCCATGGCCCTCTTTGGGGTTTGTTTGGATCCTGGCACTCTATCTTCCTAGCAGGGTGCCCTAAGGGAGGTTATTTCACCTCTCTGAGCCACAGTGCCCTCTTGGCTTTTGGAGCTGCTGTGACCATTCTGTGAGATGGTCTAGCATCCAGCCTGACCCCTACTGTGCCCTGGCATTTTTAATCATTGCTGCTACTATTATCATTGGGCCAGCCTCCAGGGGTGGACACTGCCCAGGCTGTTGCTTGAGAGAGAAAATCTAGCCTCCCCACACCTGTGGTTACACATGGGCGAGTCCTCAGCAGTTACTGTTTAAACAGGTGGTAGCAGTGGGGGGACTGGGAGGGACCAGGCCTCAGCACCTGGCACAGACAGGCACATGCTACTGGGTCCTCTGCATCAGCCATGCATAACAGGTTTAGCCCTGTTCCCCTGAGCCCTCATCCTCCCCCCTCCCCTCCTCTTGTCAGCTGAGAGGTAGCCTGGACAGGCCCTGCCTCTGACCTGGCTTGCCTGTTATCACAGCAGGGATGATCGGGCCACTTACCAGCTTCCGCAGGGCTCCTTCGTCCAGCCCAGCTAAGGCCTCATCTGCCATCACGATGGCTCCTAGCTCTGTCCGTCCCCTCCTGGTGAGATCCCTGGTGCCTGTGGCACCTGACACCAGCTCAAGGAATCTGCAGGGGACAGACATGAATCAGGCCTGCTGGGACTTCTAGAAACCACAGGCACTTGGGCCCTGTGCCTCAGTTTCTCTAACCCATGATAATCTGTTGGTGTCCCATTCTTGCTACCTGTGGCTGCTGGCTGGGGGTTGCTCTCTGCCCTAGGGTGGTATTTTGAAAAACTTAAACCAAGTGTGGGAGTCCCTGGTTCCAGCACAGCGAACTCAATGCCAGCCTGCTGTGTGGCCTAAACTGGGCCCTCACCCTGTCTTAAGGATCAGAGAGCTTAGAGGATTGAGAAGGTCCACCACAGCCGTGCTCACCACCAGGGGGTGCCTGCCAGACTCATTTCCTACCCCACCCACCCATCCCCAGGGCCTGCCCAGCCCCGACTCGGACCAAAAGTTCAGTCTCTGTGGGCTGAGCCCATATCCAAATCCTTGCTGCCACTTGCCCTCCTTACCCCAGGTGATTTAATCCATCAGAGGTAACCTCCTGTCTTCCAGTTCTTGAGGGCAGCCCTCTATACACACTCCTCTTTTCTCCTCCCCTTCCTGCCCTCCCCCTGATGCCAGTTGCCCAGACCTCATGAAGCCAGGTGTCCAGGCAACTGGCTCCTCCTGCCAATTTACACACTTAGAATCGAATTCCCCAGCTAGAATGGCCTACAGAACCTGACACATCCAGCCTCTGGATAGGCAAACTGAGGATTGGAGAGGGCGGGGATTTGTCACAAGGGGAAAGTAGGATTCCAAAGATCCAAAGAGCAGGAACGGATTTAATCAAAATCTTGGCCACTTCTGGCTTCTGAAGCCCCCTTCCAAAGTGCCCCTAGGGGCTTTTTTTGCTCCATCATTGCATCAAAATGGCCCCCTAAATCCTGGCCCAACCTCCTAGTGCAGCTCCTTCCTTCTTCCTGCAGCCCTCATGTCTATGGAATTTGAGGGCCCACAGCCTGACACACCATAGTTGCTTAGTTAATGTATGGTGACTGAAATGGCCCCAGGATTGCCACCCCCCCCCCCCAATGATTCATCTCTCAGTCATGCCTTCCCCCTCCCCAGAACAGTCACTTGTCGAGTCACCCCATCCGGTAAAGGGGGCTGAGGGGGGCTCCTAATTCATACAGTTGGGGTTCTTCAGACCCCGCCAGTTCAAGTCGCTGCTTGCTTGTCCCATCCCCTTAGGCGTGGGTGGGTGTCAACCACCCATCTTTCATCTGGGGGGAGGGGGGTCCTTGCCTCTTATCTACCTACTTTGGGGTAACCCCAAGGGTGTCACTCAGCAATCACCAGACTTAGGTTCCATGGACACTGAATTCCCCCATGTCTACTGAAGGGCAGGGGTCGCTAATGCATAATCTAGGACGCCCAGGAAGTCCTTAGGGACTGCCGCTGCTGCGGGACAGGGCTCCCTGTCATACAAATAGTCTGGGGTCTCCGGGGATTGAGAGAAGCCTCAGAGTAATGTGGGACCTTCCCCAAGGCGTGTGCCCCCATAGTCTAGGGTCCCTGGGGGTTGTGGAGCCTCCTGGAGGTCCGTGATATCCTTTCCCGCAGTCTAGAACCTTATCTCATGGCTTAGAGCCCCCGTGGATGGGTGGGAGCTTCCACCTCTGGGAGTCCCAGAACCCTAGTTCAGATATCCGGGTTCCACCCCCAGGACCCGTCGAGGGTCCTGGTGCCGCCCAGAGGCCTGCACACCCACCTCTCAGTCCGGCCCACCCGTCCGGCGCGGGCTCAGGTTAGGTCACTCGGGATCCGACAGATAGACTAGGAACGGTCAGGCGGAAGGCGCCGCGACCGGGATCCCAGTCCCCCTCAGCAACCGTCCCCGAGATTCTGCAAGCGCCGCCCGTCCAGCCGCGCCAGCGGCCCTGCCAGCCCTGCCCCGAGCCGCCACGGCAGCCAATCCTTGGGAGGGTCCCGCCCATCCTCGTGCCCCATTGGGGAAATTCAATTTGACGACCACGCCCCTGTAGCAGGCCCCGCCCCTCGAGGGCAGGACTGTAGGGGCTTGTAGTCTTGGGGCCACTGCCGCCGGGGCCTTGGCTGGTTGGGCGGTAGTCGGCAGGAGGACGCAGCTTTGCACTAAAGTCGGGGAGGGCGCCGAAAGCCGGGGTAAGTGGCTCGGGATCGTCCGTCTGAAGATTCGCGGAATCTTCAGAACTGCCCCTCTCCGCCATCCTCTTTGTTCGTGAGACCCTGTCCCTTCCCCCGACTCCGCCCCCTTCTCGCGTTAGCATTTGGGCTTGGCTGCCGCCCAGGCTGCTTTTGGGACACCTGGTCCCGGCCACCTCAGAGCAGGGACTGTGACCGGCAGCACCTCGACCCTATGTTGGTGCATCACAAAGAACATCTCAGGTGGAGCAGGATCAATCACAGTAACTTTTCCCCAGTCGATACACCTTTGAACGGACGTTTCATTCATCTGTCATGCTTTTCCCTCCCCAGCCCCCTGAGGGTGCGCTTCTGGTTGCGCTAGTCCTAGATGGGGAATACAGAGTCCATGGTCTCATTCAACAAATGGGGGAAATTGAGGCCCAGACAGAGACAACATGCCCAAGACAACACCTGGAATCAGCCAGAGGACCCAAGAGCTTAGACCCACTGGGGAAAGCCACTTCATGTCGTGCTGGAGGCCCAGGACCCTCCCACAGATCCACAGATCCAGGGTCATTGGACCCTGCCTGTTTAAGGAACCCGGGAGGTGGGGTCTGGAGTCCTGTATGTCAAATAAAAACAATACCAACACATTTATTTTGCACTTGCGATGTACCAGGCATATAATCCCTATAACGACTGTTTTGAGCCCAACTGTTAATGCCCCATTTTACAGTTGAGGACGACAGCTGATAGGTAGTGGAACTGTGTGATTCATACCAACACCTTTTAAGTCCAGAATCTGCTTTTACCCATTATGAGGTGGGGTTGTGGGGGAGTGGTTTCAGCGTACTGTCCCAGCAGAGCCCCACAGCCCTGCTGTCCAGATCCTCTGGGACCACCCATCCCACCTCACCCCCATCTAGAGAGACTCCCAGACTCTTAAAAAGTGTCATCTTCTTTGATCCCCACATTTTGAGAGGTGGTTCCACTTTCCACATGGGAAGACCAAAACATAGAGAGGGAAGAGACTTGTGAAGGTCATACGGGAGGAGGAGCAAACAGAGCCCAATCAAGGCTAACTTGATTCTACTTCAAACCTGGGGTGCCCCTTGGAACAGCCCGTTGGGGTGGGGCACACCTAGGCTAGCTGGGATTCTCAGGGCCTGCCTGAGAATGTGGCTGTCTGCTCCAATGAATGGCTTGCTTAGAGCTAGTCCCGCCCCTCACCCCTCGCCCCTTCCTGCAGGCTGGGAGGAACCACACAGTTGAGTGTGCTCCCACCTACTTAATCTGTCACGCGTGCTCACCAGGTGTTTGCAGTAAGGAAGAGATGCTTGGGTCCTTCCCTGCCGTCAAGCCCTCAGGGCTGGGGTCCTCTTCCAGACCTACCTGCCTGATTCTTCCTTCCTCCCTGTAAAGGGGGGGGGGGGGTGGATAGTGGTGGTGGTGAAACAAAGATCAAAGGGTAGCCGCATGCAGTGCTGGAGAAGCTTTCAGCCACAGTTTAGGAAGGAGTAAACAACCCATGAGGAGGGCCTGGCATTATCTGAGTACCTGCTGCATGTCAAACACAGGGTTTGCCCTATTGCAAGTTGAGAACGTGCAAGACAAGTATTACCTGGATTTTACAGAGAAGGAAGCTTAGTAGGTGAAGGCACCTTGGGCTGGTAATAGCACTCAAATGAGTGGAATTCTGCCTCATGCCTAAGGCCCTTTCCTCCATCTTGCTGCCTCTAGGATGGGGGAAATCCTGGAAGACTTCTTGGAGGAAGTGATGTGCAAACCGATCCTTGAGGAAGGATGCATAGAAATTCATCACCCAGAGAAGAGGGGGAAAGGCATTGTGGTAGGGGAATAGTGTGAGTAAAGGACAGGAGGTTTGTAAGTAGGAAAAGGAGGAGAGATGGGTTGTGGATGGAGCAAGAAATGGAGATAAGGGTCATCCCATCTGTGAAGGGCCCTGAATGCCAGGTGAGCAGAGTGAACATATCTTGTAGGCACTGGGGAGGCCTGGGCCTCATTCTATCCATCTGAAAAAGGATGGGATTGGACTGGCCTGCTTCTGGTCCTCCCGAGCAAGGGGCTATAATAGAAAGGGTCCAGATCCCTCCAGATCTAATCCTGGACTGGCAGAGCAGAGAGTGGCTGGAGCAGCTCAGGGGCCAAGGGTAATATTTTGCTCTAGTGCTTGAGTCTGAGAATAAATGTTTTACGAAGCCAGCAGTGCCAGATCCCTGAATTACCCTGGCTTCCTCTCCGCCCCCCCCCCCCAACCCCTATCTAGGGTCCTGCAAAAACAACCAAGGCCTGGGATCAGGAGGCAAGAAAGGTGATGGGTCTTAGCCCTGACTCTGCCCCAGGCAAAGATTTGGTCCTCTCAGAGCCTTGATTTTCTTATCTGCACAATGTAGGAATTATGGCCTGAGCCCCCTAAGTTCTCTCCCCCCAGACTAGACAACATAAAATACCAGGACTTTCAGGGAGACCCCACCTTGGGATACGTTCACAAGTACCTGTGAGGCCAGCCAAGGCCAGAACCTTGGGTCTATGAGGGCATCCGGGGGGCTGCTGGTTACAGGGAGGGATGTAGGGTTAGGCATGGGTCGGGGTTGGGCCTGCTGGTGGGGTCTCACAGCCTAGTCAGAGTGGGGGAGACACAGTATCTGGACCCTAAAAGCTGTACAAAACGAAGCCCTCACTTGCTGTTTGGCATGCTGTGGGGATGGGGAAGGGCAATCTGGTGAAGGGAACAGCATGAACAAAGGAAGGGAGGTAAGACTGTGAGGATTTTGTTGGGGGAAAAGTCAAGCAGGTGAAGCTGGAGCATGAGGTCCTTGAGGACAACTGGTCCTTACTGAGGTTGGCAGGATCCAAGGGCTGTGACCTTCCTCCTCATGGGCAGAACTGGAGGCCCCCATGATCATGGCCAGCAGCCCCAGGAGTAGGACTGGGGACCTGTTTGGCAAACCAGTTTGACAAGGCTGTCTCCTCTATGATGTCATCCAGCTGCTGTGTTCTCTGAGCGACAGTGCCAGATAAACTTCCGGGCTTGGAGTAGAAGGGAGCCTGGCCTTAAGTGCTGAGGGATGGGAAAGGAATGACTCTTCCTTGGAAACTTGGAGGCAAGTGGGCTCTGGGAAGGAGAAGGAGGCCTGAGATGCCCACTGTGCAGTGATGAACCCCAGGAACTCAGCCTCATGGAAAAAGGAGAGGATTCTGGATGGGCTGGCCTGGACCTCTTGTGATTTCTGGGAGTTCCCTGATGCCTGACATCCATCTAGGTTCATGACAGGGGCTCCATGGGTTGGAGCATGGCTCTAGATCACCCTTATAATACATGAAAGGCTGTTTTGTTATTACCAAGACCCTCACAGCTTGAGCCCTGTGAGGTAGGACCATCATAATACAGAAGAAGAGACAGGCTCAGTGAGGCCAAGCCTTGCTAGCACTTCATGCAGGATTTGAACCCAGAATCTTTATTCTTAACCATAGTACCCTGCTTTTTGCCATTTGGGATCTGTACCTGCCCACATGGGCCCTTATCCTATTTCTTAACTATTCAGCATAGCTGCTGCATCTTGGCATTACAGAATCCTAGATGCCTGCGTTATGATCCAAATAGATAATCTGAGTCCCAGAGAGGACAAGGAACAGGCTTCAGGTCACATAGCAATTTGGATGTGGAGCCACTCTGCACCCCAGATCCCCAGCATCCCAAATCTCTTATTTCCCCCTTGGCTTGGCACGCCCAAGCATGAAATAACAATAGCTGGCACATATTGAGTGCCTATTATGTGCCATTCACTCATTTAATCATCATCACCACCCTGTGCAGCAGGTGCTAAGATTATATCCATTTGACAGATAAAGAAACTGAAGCTCAGAGAGGGAAGGTCACTTGTCCAAGTTGACACAGCATGTTGGTGGCAGGGCTGGGATTTGAACCCAGCTGTGTGTCCCTTTCTCCTTGATGGACCCAATAGATCTCATTGAAAGCATGAAGACCTCTATGCCAGAGCGTAGATGGCCCCTTTGCAGGCTCCAGAGGTGAGCAGTGTCCAATTCATAGTTTCCACGCAGACCTGGTCTCTCTGGAGTGGGTAAAGTGCTGAGGCTGTGGAAATGTTCTGAACCTTCCCAGAGGAGGCGGCCACAGTGGGAGGGAGTGTTTGGTGCAGACCTCAGAGCCAAGTGTAGACGTGGCAGCTGGACCGGCTGCAGGCGAGGGAGGGCAGGCGGGGTGGGGCCCAAACCCAAACCGGCCTCCAAGCAGCTTTCCCAGCCATCCACCAGCCAGGCCCAGCCCTGCCCACCCTTCTAGCTCCCCATCTGGATTTGAAAGGAGGACTCTGGGCCTAATAATAGCTGAGTGGCAGCAAAGGCAATGCCTGGAGCTGCAGCCAGTGGATTGCTAGGGTCCCCTACTGTCTTGTGCTGGCCTGAAACAGGTTTCAGGACTTTAAAAATAAAAGCGAGTGCTTATGAAGTATATGCATGTGCCAAGCTTTGTGCTAAAGCTTAGCTCACAGTAACTCACTTATTCCTCATGGCCACTCCAATAAGATAAGACTATTATTAACGCTATTTGATGGCTAGAGAAACTGAGGCACAGAGACTTAAGCAACTCTCCTCTAATGATTATGGCAGCCTCTAATTGCTGAGCATATACATGTCTGTCCTGGATGCTGCACTAAGCATTTTCTGGGTATTTTCCCATTTGAGGTATTATGGGAAAATCATTTATTTTTATGAAGAAAAAAAGACCCAAAGAGAAAAGGGACTTGCCCAAAGTCATGTGGCTGAAGGGGCAGAGTTGAGACTCAAACCCAGGACTCTCAAACTCTAACCCAGGACTCTCAAACTCTAGGGAAGTTAAGACCTTGGCTTCTGGAATCAGATAAACCTGAGTATGCTGGGACATCACTGCTCCTTAGCTGTGTGGCTTTGGAAAATTGCATCACCTGCCTTAACTTCTGTTTTCTTCTCTGTAAAATGGGGGTTTGGTTGAGATGATA